CAGGGATGGAGAGGGACACACACAGGGATGGAGAGGGACACACACAGGGATGGAGAGGGACACACACAGGGATGGAGAGGGACACACACGGGGCTGTCCCGTACCCAGGGCAGCCTTGGCCGCAGCCGAGGCCACGCGCGGATCCACCACGGAGGCCAGGAAGGCCACGGTGCTCATGACGGGGTTGCCAGACTGGCTGAAGGGCACGGGCTGGTAGGCCAGGGGTCCCAGCGAGGCGTCCGAGTTCTCCAGGTAGGGATCCTCGATGGGCAGGCGCAGGAAGTGCAGGATGCACTCGTCCTGCGTGCGGCTGCCCACGTGCTCCGACACCTTGTTCCAGTCGTCCTTGTACATCTCCAGAGCCTGCAAAAGGCAAGAGGGGCGGCTGGGCACGGCCTGCTCGGGGAAAACCACGGCCAAAAAGGGGTTCTGTACTGCTTGCTGTGGTGATGGAGCAATAAATGGGGGTCAGACAGCTGCTAAAAGTGTTGGTGCTGCTATCGAGATTATCTGCAGTGGACATTGTGGGAGGAAATAGTAATAAACATGAGGATTTCCCTGGGGTGTGAGTGACATTGAAACCACAGGGATCATCGCAGGAGTGGATGCTGTGACTGTATCAGAAAGAACTGCCAGAAGATTTGGGGTTTACTGCTATTTGCACAGCAGGTGTTGCCTCACAGAGAACTAAATCTGCCTGTCCTACCAAATCTCACAATTCTTTAACTCCACCACTCCCCCCAGAGGGGCTCCCCTTCCCTCCCTGAACACAGAAAGCTGGCTGGGGCAGGAACAGGATCTGTTTTTCAGATGTGGGCTGGCTCTGATGTGAAATCCAGTCTTTAGACTCATCAGATGTTATGGAAGTGGAAAAGCATCAAAGCAACCCACCAGGGGAAAAGAGGGAAATCCATCCCACATCCTGAAGCCAGGAGAGACCAGTTCTGCAGGAGCTGTGCACCAGTGTGACTCCTCTTAACACTGAGGCTAACAAATCATTACTGCCTAGATAAGGCACCTGATAAAGTGAGAACTTCCAGATCGTACCAAAAACAGAATTCTGAATTTTTAAATTTTTAAGTTTTTAAACTTCCTCAAGAAAAGTCTTAAAAGAATTTAACAGCAATGAGCTACTGAAGGCCCTGCACTGGCTCCTGAAAAACCAACACATTAATCCTGTAAAACCCTCCAAGTCACAGCCTAATAAATTATTACTCCTTAACAAGCCATTTTTTCCCCTGATAATTGTTTTAGTGAAGTATCTGGACAGTATAAAATAAATACCCTGACATATCCTGAACCATTAGCTTTTACATTTCTGAGAGGATTCATGGTGCAGTCACCCAGACAAGGCAAAAAAAGACATTTGAGTTTCTGGCAAAAGATGCTCAACGTGTGAAAATGAATTTTCCCAAGTAAGTCTCTCCCACAAGGCTGAGAACTCTGAGAAATCTCAACCTTGCAAGGCCTGACTTAACTCTGAGAGCAGGGAGGGGGAGCTGGGAGCTGGGCTGGGTGTGCCTGAGCTCCTGAGAACACGGCCAAGGTGGGAGAGCAGAGCACACAGGGACACAATGCTCCTGTGCTGGGGCTTCCAGCCCTTCCCAGGGACACGAGGAACATCCAAACTGAGCCACCAGCCTGGTGCTCAGAGTCTGGGAAGGGCCCAGAGCATGGAACAGCCTCTGTGGAACACCAGAACCAGGCTGGATGGGGCTTGGAGCTGCCTGGGACAGTGGGAAGCGTCCCTGCCCACGGCAGGAGTGGGGTGGGATGAGCTCTAAGGTCCCTTCCAAACACACTGCTGTCTTCAGAGCAGCTCTGCAGGAAAACTGGTTTTAGTATTTGTTCAGTTAAAACAGAAGCTCTGAGAATTCCTCATGGACAAAATATCGACCTGAACGGGGCCCTCGGGCACTTTGTGGCTGCAGAGGGGCAGCTGGGGTCATGAAAATGCTCCTGGTTGCAAAGATACAGAAACAAACTGGCCCCAAGGACAGATAATTCAACCCAAAAGCATCAGAGATCCACCATGGCTCAAAGTGGAGAAGAACTGCCTGAGTGGGCAGTGCCTCCCTGAGCCCAGAGCTGGCTGGAGCTGCTCTCTCCAGGCAGGTGTCACTGCCAGGGCAGGGACAGGAGCAGGGACAGGGACAGGAGCAGGGGCTGGGACAGGGACAGGGGCTGGGACAGGGACAGGGGCTGGGACAGGGGCAGGGGCTGGGACAGGGGCAGGGACAGGGGCTGGGACAGGAGCAGGGACAGGGGCTGGGACAGGGGCTGGGACAGGGGCTGGGACAGGGGCTGGGACAGGGGCAGGGACAGGGGCAGGGACAGGAGCAGGGACAGGGACAGGGACAGGAGCAGGGACAGGAGCAGGGACAGGAGCAGGGACAGGAGCAGGGACAGGAGCAGGGACAGGAGCAGGGGCTGGGACAGGAGCAGGGACAGGAGCAGGGACAGGAGCAGGGACAGGAGCAGGGACAGGAGCAGGGGATGGGACAGGGGCTGGGACAGGGGCTGGGACAGGGACAGCCCTGGTGGCTCTCCAGGTGGCTCCTGCAGGATCCCAGCAGTGGGAGCAGCTGGCTGGGGAGCACAGCCAGGCAGGGCTGGGAGAACTCCACGGGAGGAGCCCTCAGCTTGGGAATGACCCAGAACCCGACAGCCTGCTCCTCTCCATGGGAATCCACATTCCCAAATTCCCTGCTGAGCCCCTCTCCCGGCCCCTGGCATCTCCCAAGGGTTCCAAGTGCATCAGAGCCTGCTCAGCCCAGCAGGTCACTCTCAAGGGAGGTTTTTATTCTCTGCTCAGCCTTTATTTCCCTTTCCCTAATTTCATCTCTGGGCTCTCAGTCCCTGTCTCCATTTTTAACCCCTCTGGCACCTGAGACCAGCTCTGCTTCTCAGCCCCCAAATTTCTGTTTCCTGCTCCTTCTCCTTCCCCATCTGTTGTTTTCCTGCCAGACAAACCCTCGCTTGCAATAAATGTCCTTCCTAAAAATAGCTGAAAATGCATTTAACTCTGCCTGAGCCGTGGAGACACCGAGGGGGCTGTGCAGGGAGGAGGAAAACTCTATTTCCTCCCCCAAATTATTCAGTCAACAGGCAGAAGGCCAATAATTATTTCAGATACGATTTATTATTTGGAACTTCACTGCCTATCTATATGCCCAAAGCTACCCTGAGGATTTAATTGGACTGAGCTGGCTTGCTACAGCTGAATTACTTATGCTTGAACTGATATACTCTTTACTGATTTATTCATAGAACAAGTCCGTGAAAAAGGAGGAACAAAAACATTATTAATTTAAACTCATTAAACAGAATTGCAATCTCAAGATTTAGGGGGCTTTTGGATTATTTTTTTTGTAAGCACAGGGTATGTCACTGGATTATTTCATTGGGCTACAACGTGTAGTGTGTGATCATGAGCTAAAAACATACAAACCAATGAGTTTTAAATAACAGTACTATTAATATTAAATATTTAAATAATACAGTTAAATAAATAAAAAAGGAAAGAAGTCAGTATATCAAGCCATTAGCCTTGTTTCTCCTTCCATGAATGCCATGGAAAACAGCTGTTTACACCCCAGAAGCAAAATTTTCCCATGTGCCAACAGAAAAGTATTGGCTAAACACTGAATATCAGCCTAAAATAAATAGGAAATAAAGGGAGATTTTGGCTGTTTGATGACCAGGCTCCATATGTATGAAGACTAAATCACAGCTGCTGATTTGGCACTGACACAGGTCCATCCTCCAGGCTTTTCCCCAGGAAATTAACTTTTCAATGGCTTTATTGACACATGGCAAGACAAAAAAGCTGAAACAAGCAGGCAACTGCAGTTTGCTCTGAGCTCTGCAAGTGAAACCCAACAGAAACAGAGCCCTAAACTGGAATTCTCAGAACTCTGAATTACTTTAAAAGAAAACATCAGCCGTGCAGCCTCTACATTGGGAAGATGTGAAAGCAAAGCTGGGGAGAAGATCTTTTCTTTGGAGGAATTGGCAGAACTTTAAATTGCTTCACCTGAAGCCACCTGGGGACACCAACCTGCAGCAGCTCCTGGAGCTCATTGGAAGGAACCTCATGGAACCATCTCAGGGTTTTTTTTGGGTAGATTTCCAGAAAAAGCTCCAAGAACATCCCAAGTGAAAACAAGGAGATGTGGGACGAAGGAGCTACCAAAGAACTTCCATTCTCCATGGCCTCAACTGGTTTTCAACCACTTCAACTTCCAAAATGAGCTGTTTCCCTGAGCTATGGCATGGCTTGGAAATCAAAATTTCCAGGTATTTATCTGAGTGTCTTTATCTGAGTGTCTTTATCTGAGTGTCTTTCTCTGAGTGTCTTTCTCTGAGTGTCTTTCTCTGAGTGTCTTTCTCTAATTTCTAATATCTAATCTAATCTAATATCTAATATCTGTAATTTACCACTGTGTGAATTACTGACATTATTTCATGCTGAATGAAAACACCTCTCTGCACTGCAAAACCTGCTCCTGATTTATACAAAGTTCTTAAATGCTTCATTTCTGGCTTGCAGGCCCAAGTTAGAACCAAGCCTTAGACACAGGCAGCCCTCTCTCACAGAGATGCTCCTGCCATCTCTTTTTGGTAGCATCACTCTTGTAGCCATGATGGCAGCTGTCTTCTAACTCCAAAAAATGCACATGTGGGTTTTTAAAGCCTGAAGCACCCCTCGTGGTTTGGTTTGCTGCCTTTCCTTTGGCCTCATGAACTCACCTCTAACAGCAGCAGTGTCTCCTGCTCTGTCCACTCTCTGCCAGCACTCGCCCCTTTACTCTACAAAAGACAGGAGGGAAAAATAAATAAAGGTGAAACAGGACTTTTTATACAAAACCTTGTAGAATAAAACCCTGAGGAGGAAAGGGGAAGAATTAATGATTTGACCCACTCAAACCTCCTCCTTGCAGCTGAGCCCCAGGCAGGGGTGTGTGGGATTTACCCCTCAGTGAAGGCACAGCTGGGGGTTACACATCCCAGCTTCCCACCACGCCTTCCCCAGCTGGAGCAGAGGGATGTGGCATCCTCCTGGGCCTCTGATCTGTCCCTGCACACACAGCAGAGAGGATCTCCCTGAAAAACAAACCCCTCTGGGTGCTGCAGGCAGAGTGGGCTGGTCCAAAATAAGTTAATTGATCTCCAAGTTCATCACTATCTCAGTAAGGAGTAACAACTCTTGACAGGGGGATGAGCTGTGTGAGAAGGCAGAGTAATCCCAGCAGGATCATCTGCACTTCCAGCTATCACCTGCTCCAAGGGACACTGCTGCTCCCAAATCTACACCTCGAGGCTCAGATTGGATAGAAATTCCAAATGCAGGGTGGAACTCCTCCTGCTGTGACACCCTGACCCAGCACAAAAGCAGCTCAGGACCTGCACCACTGCTGGACTGAAAGGAAGAGGCTCTTTAGGATAATAAATGTTCTCTCCAGATGCATCTCAAGCAGCTCATTAACCCACAGAGAACATGAATCAATGTGAGTCACACAACTGCTGCTCTCCACAGCCAAAACCCCCAGCAGACAGAAACCAAACAGGGAAATCTGCCAACAAACCTGCTCCAGTTCACAGCTCCTGTAAACAGAGCCAGGGCCCAGAACCAGCAACAGATTTATCAATTTGGAGAATATTTATACCTCCCCTTATGAGTGAGAAAGGCAATCCATGAAATGTGAGATAGAACCAGGCTTATGAAAAATAACTGGTTTGGGTTTGTGGGGTTTTTAAAGGATGTTCCCAAGTGGTAAATAGTGTTTAAATAGTTCTTTTTTAGGTTTAAACAGTGACCTCTGAGGACAATGAACTGATGACATGGAATTAGCCTGATGCCACCCACGGGAGGCACAATCCAGCTCTGGAGATTCCCAATTCCCACTGGAGGCTGTGCTGAGCCACTGTGGCATTCCCACAGCACCTCCAGGGACACACAGGGAAAGGCAGGAGGTTGTGGAATCAACACCTCACTGCAATGGTGCCTCCCAAGCTGAATTATCCTGTGTCACACTCTACAGTGACACTGCCCAAACCTCCCCTGGACACCAGAGCCTGGAGAACAGGAGAGGCAGAGATCCTGCTGGAAGCTCTCTGCTGGATGGAAAATCATTGGTTTGCTGATGCTGAACAGCTTCAGCAGGACATGCAGGAACACAACGAGTTTGGCATCTGAGGGCTGACAGCATGGACTGGTCTGGGAAGTTTTCCATGTCTTTATTCCCAGAAAATCAGAATTCCAGCACAACCTCCCACCCTAGTGTCCTGCACAGGGATGGGAAACATCTAACCCAGCAGTGGAGGAGCAACACAAGTCACCTCAGTGACACAAACTGGGGCACCTGAGGAATAACAGAGCTGGCTGGGAGCTGCAGGCAGAGCCCCAGGACACTTGCCTTGGCCAAAGTCTTTTTGGAGTAGATGTCTGTGCGAAGGCCAAAGTTCTGCAGGTCAGTTGGCTTCTCCTTGTTCTTCTCAGGGAAGCTCAGCATTTGCTGGGCAGCTGGAACCTGGGAACAAACGTCACAGGGGAGAGGAGCAGGAATTGGAAGTTATGCAGGGTTTTCACACCAACGCTCGCCACAACACGAGGTGGCCAGAGCAGCTGGACACAAGCCATGAGGGCCAGCGTGTGAGCAGAGTGTGGGTGGCTGTGGGCCAGCTGCTGAGGATGAGGATGTTCCCCAGCGGGCAGAGCCCGGCAGGGCAGCCCCGCTCACCTGCGGGGTGCGGATGTGCAGGGGCATCAGCCCCGAGGGGGTGTCGGCCAGCACGTTGAAGTGGGGGGTCGGGGGGGGCCCCATGGCCATGGGGCGGCTCTCGGGATCCACCTGGTAGTTGATGAGCCCCCACTGCTCCAGGAAGGCGTGGACCCTGGGAAAAACAGGACAAATCCCACCTTCGGCACCGCAGCTTCCCTCGCGCTTCGTGTGGGAGGTGACGAGGAACAAAGCTGATGTTTCAGGATCAAATCCACACCCAGGAGCTCCTCTAGTCCTTCATTAATCCCAAAGAGCAAAACAAACCCCAGAGCAGGAGCTCTGTGCACACCTGAGGACACTGCAGTGTGCTGTATAAACCAAAGTTGTGTCCAGCTCTGGGCCCCAAAGAGAGACCCTGAGGGGCTGGAGAGCGTCCAGGGAACGGAGCTGGGAAGGGGCTGGAGACCCAGGAGGGGCTGAGGGAGCTGGGAAGGGGCTGGAGAATTCCTGAAGGAGTTGGGAAGGGGCTGAAGAATTCCTGAGGGAGCTGGGAAGGGGCTGGAGAATTCCTGAGGGAACTGGGAAAGGGCTGGAGAATTCCTGAGGGAGCTGGGAAGGGGCTGGAGAATTCCTGAAGGAGCTGGGAAGGGGCTGGAGAATTCCTGAAGGAGTTGGGAAGGGGCTGGAGAATTCCTGAGGGAGCTGGGAAAGGGCTGGAGAATTCCTGAGGGAGCTGGGAAAGGGCTCAGGCTGGAGCAAAGGAGGCTCAGGGGGAATTTCTGGCTCTGCACAAGTCCCTGGCAGGAGGGGACAGCCTTGGGGGATTTGGGATCTGCTCCCAGGAACAGGGACAGGAGGAGGGAACAACCTCAGGCTGGGCCAGGGGAGGCTCAGGTTGGACACCAACAGGAATTTCCCCATGGAAAAGGTGGTCAGGCTTTGGCAGGGGCTGCCCAGGGAGGTGACCTAGAGCTGTCCAAAGAAGGCCTGGATGTGGCACTCAGAGCTCTGGTGGGGATAGGGCACAGCCTGGGCTCTTTGCAGAGCTTTTCCACCCTCAGTTATTCCACAGAAGCCCCAGCCCCAGAGGCAGCTGTCACCTCATGACGGCGCAGACGTCGCCGGTGAGGTTCCTCCTGCAGGCCGTGCTGGTCAGGTACTCCTGCGGGTTCAGGCGGTACGTGTCGATCATGAAGTTCCTGTAGGCCAGGTATCTGCAACACAGCCCCAACCACGTCACCCCTGCCCTCCCAGCCAGCTCAGCACCTCAACATCCACCCCCAAACTCCCTGCACCCACAGGGAAACACCAACACATCTCCTGCACTGCTCAAATTTCAGAACCGCCACCAAAACCCACAGGCAAAGTGGAATTCCCACTCCTGCAGACTGCTTCACTCTGAATTTCCCCCTGTGTTTGGATTAGCAGCACATGGAAACGTGTTTAAATTGTAAATCACACAATTAACTGCTGTAACTTGGTCGCTGGCCACATATTCCCACAATAGAATAGAAGCTGCAGGATGAAAATAACGGGGTCTGGTCTCCACATGGGAACAGGATAAATAATCCTTGTGCATCCCTGCATGAAGGAAAAAAGCTGCACTGAAAAGCAGAAGTGGATGGAACACTGCTGTGGCTGCATGTGGAGTTTTTAATGGATGAAGGGATGAGGCAGAACAGCAACGTGGAGAAGAAAAGATCTTTGAAAAGCAGAGGATAAGAGCCCAGAGCCAGCACAGCTGGGAACAGCTGGAGCAGAAACAATCCCTGAGAGACTGCCCTGTTTCAGTAAGTTTCTGCAATGTGCTGATGCTTCCTGATACAAATTATCCCTAAGAAAATAACCTGCCATAAGATTATTGGTAGCCCTGGCATCATCCAGGCTGGATGGGGCTTGGAGCACCTGGACTGTGGAAGGTGTCCCTGCCCATGGCAGGTGGGTGAATGAAAAGGGCTTTAAGGTCCTTTTGTACCCAAACTACTCCAGGATTCAATCCAGTGAGTATCCAATGCAAAGCTGTGTGTAAAACAGTGGTTTTTAAAGCAGATTTCTGCCTTTGGAAAATTCCAGGGGGGAATGTTTCACATGCAGTGCATGAAGCAGCTGGGAACCAAAAATATAAATCATCCAGGCAAGGTCTGAGCAGGCAGATGCTGCAAGCACGTGTCCCTGCCAAAATCCCACATCCTCCTCCTGACCAAATCATATGTGCAACTGGCTGGAAGAAAATTGCTGGAGTAGGTGTTTGGCTCCACGTGGGATGTTTGGGAGGCAAGAAACAAAAAGGAGTTTCTTCCACAGAGGAATTCTGAGGAACATTTCTGAATGCTGCAGGGGAGGAGGGGAAGAACCTGTCCAGGAACAGGTCTTGGCTGCAGAAATTAGCATTTATTAGCAAAGGTCACATCACGAGGTGGAGAGAGAAGCCCAAGACAGAAACATCCCCAGGTTTATTCTGAAGGGAAACCCTGTCAGCAGTGAGAAGAGAAGTCAAGCAGGATTTAGTTCAATCCCCTTCCAGCCAGGGCCCACCCCCAGGCTCTGCTGTCACAAGGATGAACCTGTGTGAGCTCCCCAAGCACGGTGTTTTGGCCTCAACATTCAGCTGGAGGCGGCTCATCTCCATTCACAGGGATGCTCCTCTTTTATTTCACAACAAAACACAAGGCCAGCACCACGTGCTGCTCCTGCAATCCCCAAATGGCTCCAGAAGATCTCCAGGATGCCATGAGGCATGGCAGGAGTCCCCAGGCTGCTCCTCTGGCACCAACAGCTGGTGGCAGCCCAGGGAGGAGCAGCAGGAGCTGATGCTGTGATGCCAGGCTGGAGAAGGGTGCCTGGGCCTGCAGTGACAATCACAGGGTGACATCCAGGAGAGAAACACCCTTTCCACACTCCAGCTGTCTGCTGCCTCTCACTGAGAACGCCCCAACCTTCCTGGGCAGCTGAAGTGCTGGAACAGCCAGTGTTGGGTGGGTTTGGAACAAAGGCACTGGGGAATGGCAGGGGGAGGAAGAAGGGGATCTCTGCAGAGCCCTGCCCGAGCCATGCTGGGCTCTGGATCCAGCTGTGGTCACTCTGCACTCACACAGAGTGCACACAAGCTGTGAGGACACACCACAGACTGGAAATCCCTGGGGGTGCCAGGGGTCTCAGGGTGTCTGAGCCAAGCTCCTGCTCAAGCCATCATGTCTCACCAGGTTTCTTAGGGCTTTGTCCAGGAAGGTCTGAAAGACTCCAAGGAGGAGCAATCCCAATTTCCCAAGACCCCATCCCAGTGCCTCATCTTGTTCAGAGCTCAAAACTCCCCTTTTCTCGAGCCAGAAGCTGCTGTTTCAGCCTGACCTGTTGCTGCCCTGTCACAGACTCAGCCCCAGGGGCGTCCTGGGGCAGGGGACAAACACCACCAGGCCCCTGGGAAAAAGAACTTCAATAATTTCTGTTTGTTTATCAAACCTGAAGCATCACAGCCCAACAGCCACCCCTGAGGTGGGAGATTCCAGCACAAGGACAATCTCTGGAGGAATGCTCCTCTCCAGGCTGGCAGAGATGGGAATGGTTACCTGGAGAGGAGAAGGCTCCAGGGAGAGCTCAGATAACCACTGGTAAATATCACTTTGATGTTTAAACTTTAATCTCTGCCACAGCAATGTTCAAACATTGTCAGGGGCTCTGTCCCTCTCTACAGGAAGTATCAGCCTCACACACACCCAGCAGTGCCCACAGCATTCATGGAATGGGAAGCTCCTTTATCCTGCCACACTGCCACTGCCCACATTCCCAGGTTTTACTCACATTTCTGGAGTCTTGGACTTGTTTTTCCCATTGAAGAATTCCGGAAGCGCGCGACGCTCGATCACGTGGATGCTGCAACAAAACCAGTTCAGGTGTCAGAACTGGAACAGCCCCGGTTCCATGGATTATTCCAGGCTACAACAAATATCCTCCCTCTAGAATCAGTGACTTCTCCTAAAAGTCAAGTTCTGAAGCAAAATAAAAAGGTTTTCAGCAGTAGAGACAAACACAGAATGGTCACACAACGACCAGAAGTAAAGGAACTAAGGTGGGAATCAGAGGGAAATGGATGCAAGCAGAAACTGCTGAGGAGGCAGAGTGAAGACCTCTGCTGTTTGAAGTTCTCTCCTCATTCCCAATCCCTGAGAACAGCCAGGAGGATCTCAGCACAAAGCACAGGAACCAGACCTGCAGAGGAGGGAGCTCCTCCAGCAGCTGAGGAAACAGAAGGGGGGCAGGCTCCCCCAGAGCCCCTCACCAGTTGTAGTCGAACCAGGAGGCGTAGCTGGGGATGATGATGTGGTTGGTCTGCTCGGTGACATTGTCCTCCCCAGGGTCAATGGAGCGGCTCTGGTCACCCTTGTTGGGGTCCTCGTCCTCCTGGGGGACAGAGGGGACACGGCACAGTGAGGGGACACGGCACAGAGAGAGAGGGGACAGAGCACAGAGAGAGGGGACAGAGCACAGAGAGAGAGGGGACACGGCACAGAGAGAGGGGGGACACGGCACAGAGAGAGAGGGGACACGGCACAGAGAGAGAGGGGACACGGCACAGAGAGAGAGGGGACACGGCACAGAGAGAGAGGGGACAGGGCACAGAGAGAGGGGACAGGGCACAGAGAGAGGGGACAGGGCACAGAGAGAGGGGGGACAGGGCACAGAGAGAGGGGACAGGGCACAGAGAGAGGGGACAGGGCACAGAGAGAGGGGACAGGGCACAGAGAGAGGGGACAGGGCACAGAGAGAGAGGGGACAGGGCACAGAGAGAGAGGGGGGACAGGGCACAGAGAGAGGGGACAGGGCACAGAGAGAGGGGACAGGGCACAGAGAGAGAGGGGACACGGCACAGAGAGAGAGGGGACACAGGGCACACAGGGGACACACAGAGGGGACACACGGAGGGGACACACGGCACAGAGGGGACACACGGCACAGAGGGGACACACGGCACAGAGGGGACACACAGAGAGGGGACACACAGGGAGGGGACACAGGGAGGGGACACACGGAGGGGACACACGGAGGGGACACACAGAGGGGACACACAGAGGGGACACACAGAGGGGACACACAGAGGGGACACACAGAGGGGACACACAGAGGGGACACACAGAGGGGACACACAGCACACAGAGGCCAGGACAGGAGCTCCCCCAGCCCACCCAGATTCTGTGACACCCCACGAGGAGGGACAGCTTTGGTCCCTCTCTGCTGCTCACAGAAGCCTCCTGCAACTCAAGTCCCAGCAAATGTCAACTCCTGAGCCCAAATGATCATGAGGAGGCAGCAAAACAGGGTCAGGACGTGACAAGAACTGCACAAAACAACTCAGGTGTTGTTTGAGCCACGTTAGAAATAGCCAAGTGCCACAGCCAGACCCTAAGGAGTCCCTGGTATCAATAATGGAGCTTTATCTGGGACTGAGCTCCCCCAAAGACAACAAGGTATCACTCTCAACACCTTCAGTCATCTGACAACTGATAAAAATAGTGCCTGGCATGCCACAAATGCAACTCAATACAGAAACTATCCCTGCAGCTCTATTGAAATCATCAGGAAATCAAAGCAGGGTTTAGATTTAGTCCTAAAACTAAAAAAAAAAAAAAAAAGCAAAACCTCTCATCTGAAAAATGCTTCTTGGAAATACTTGGCATCTATCTCCTCATTCTCCTTTTTTAATACACTAGATTTAAAAATATCAAATAATCCCACAGAATCTGGGGAGTTTTATAATAACAAGGCTGTCAGTAACTGATTTAATCTTACAGATCACTTAAAGATGAGTACAGGTGAAGCTACTGAAGGTGAGATTGAGATCTTGACAGGACACAGGGAATGACTTTGAAGAGGAAGAGGGCAGGGTTGGATGGGATGCTGGGGAGGAATTCTGGTGAGAGGCTGGATGGAATTCCCAGAGCACATCCCTGGATCCTTGGAAGTGCCCAGGGTCAGGCTGGAGCACCTGGGACAGCAGGAGGTGTCCCCAAGGCAGGGCTGGCACTGGGTGGCCCCCGAGGTCCCTTCCAGCCCAAACCACCTGAGATTCTACAATCCCACTTGTTCCCAAATTTAGGAAGAAGCAGGTGCTGTTACCTTCCCTCCAGTCGCCACTGTGTCCTCATCCTGCTCATCTGCAAGGTAAAACCACTGAGAATTACACCAAAAAACTCATTTAAATGCTCACAAGCCTTCCAGCAACACAACTGTTTCATTTCTTCTGGAAGGGAAGGGAGGAGGGAAACAAAGTGGATCCCACATCACTAAAGCAATTACACCTTTACCTAACCCAGACCAGGGAACAGGTAAGAACACAGAGGAAGGAGAATTAGAATTTCTCAACCCTTCAGAATTCATAATTAATTACTTCCTTTCCCAGTGTCCTAGGTGACTCTTGTATAATAGGATATGGGATATGAGTTTGTATCTCATGTCAAGGCTCAGCAAAGCTCAGGGAACCAGTGATTTACCCTGATTCCCAGGGGAAAAACAAAAATCTGCTAGAAAAGAGCTTGTATACTGTGCTAAAGAAATAAAAATACCAACAGCCTAAGAGGGAAGAGAAAAGTTGGTACATTGGAAGTTGAATAGGTCTGAAACAGGACTCAATTCAACAGACTAGCAGAACTAGAGATTGCTTTTCAAATGGAGAGATGGAGAAATATTTAAAATATATTTTAGAAGATTGACTGCAGGCAGGACTGGAGGGTGAGGCTGGGGCAGGGGTGCAGGGGCTTTACCCAGGTCTGCCACGGTTCCTCCTTTCACGGGCGTGTTCTCACTGTCCTTCTTTGGGTTCACTGCAAGGACAGCCAGTGATGAGACAGCAGCACACAGGGAATTCTCATCCTGGCCTCATTCCCTGTGCTCTCACACAGCTTTATCCCATTTCCCTGCAGCATTCCCAGCCCCACACGGAGCAGGATCTGCACCTCCCAACCTGCCCAGCACACAGCAAGGCTTCAGTGCAAACCCAACACCCCCAATGCAGAGACTCCCACAATAATCTGCTCTCAAGGATGCAGAAGGAATTCTTTTTTCCCAGAATTATTGTTGCCCACCTCCCTGAAAAGGACTAAAAGCATGTAGCACATTTTCCACTCATTTAACATCCTTCTTCTGGGGTCTTGGCAAGGAAATATTTTGCTCCAGAAAACTCCATTTACCCCAATGTGAACAGGTGAAATAAAACATTCAAGTAGATCGTTGCAAATCTATTTTTAAAAATGTCTTTTATAAATGTAGTTTTGTATTTTAAAAGGCCAGAAGGAGGTGACTCTGCTGCCCTTTTCAGCTGTTACATCCCCTGACTAGATAAATTTATGGGCAGAGATGACCATGATTTCAAAGATTTGACAGAATGTTTACACAATTTTAATGCATTCCAATTTTTCACATTCAAAGAGCCCAAACTGTTCTGGTATTTTACCATTTTTGGGAAGTACCACTTCTTCTATGTTGGGCACTGGGGTGGGGTCCTCCATGTCCTTGGTGAGATCCTCCTGCTCATCCTCTTCCTTCTGCCCCCTCCTTTTCCCATAGAGAGCTGCTTGGCTGGAACAGAGCACACAGAGATGTTCTCTGGACACTGCTCAGCTGCCAGGACAGGAGGGTCAAACCTTCCTGAGACCACCCTGGGAACAGAGAACCAGCCCCACACCCCCTCACAGACCCCAGCTCAGGCTTTACTTGCAAGAAGGAATTCACATTATCAACTCATTCTTGATAAACTTTCAGTTTGGTCTCCTTAGAGCCCAACAGGTCCATAAACTGGACCTGAATTTTTAAATTAAATTAATTTTAAGCTGAATTTAACTCTTAAGTGCTCCCCTCCATACCCACACATAACACCCCATAACTAAAGTTTTTATTTGGGTGAAATACTGGTAGAGTGAGGAATTGCACAACTGCTCAGGAATAATCCCTCAAGCCTATCCAGAAATAATTATGGAACCCCATGTCCCAGAGTTCTCCCATAAACACTTCTTGAACTTCTTCTTTTCACCTCAAATTCCAGGCCTCTGGAACCTTCCAGACACTCACCCTTTCTTCCCTGTCTTTTTCCTGGACTCCACAGGAGTGGGGGGTGGAGAAGGGGAATGTTTCCTTTTCCTTGTACTGGCTGCTGCTTTCCTGTCCCTCCTCTCAGGGCTCCGCACGGGCTGGGAGGGAGCAGAGCTTTCAGTTATTCCCAAATTCTCTGGCTGCAGAGCTGGAGGCTGCATCTCCTTAACCCACCCCAAAACAGGATGCCACAGCTTCTCTGGGCACCCTGTGCCAGCTCCTCCCCACCCTCCCAGCCAGGAATTCCTTCCCAATATCCCAAAATCCACCCACTGGGAGCCATTCCCTGTGTCCTGTCCCTCCATCCCTTGTCCCCAGTCCCTCTCCAGCTCTCCTGGAGCCCCTTCAGGCCCTGCAAGGGGCTCTGAGCTCTCCCTGGAGCTTCTCCTCTCCAGGGGAACATTCCCAGCTCTCCCAGCCTGGCTCCAGAGGGGCTCCAGCCTGGCCTTGGGCACTGCCAGGGATCCAGGGGCAGCCCCAGCTGCTCTGGGAATTCCATCCCAGCCAGGAATTCCTTCCCAATATCCCAAAATCCAAGCAGTGGGAGCCATTCCCTGTGTCCTGTCCCTCCATCCCTTGTCCCCAGTCCCTCTCCAGCTCTCCTGGAGCCCCTGAGGGGCTCTGAGCTCCCCCTGGATCCCTCCCTATTCCAGAGACACAGGACATTGCTGTCTCCCAGCAGAGAACCACTCACCTCTTCATTCTTCATGGAGATCCTCTGGCGAAAACTCACGGATTTCCTGTTCTCATCCACCTCATAATCCTCTTCATTCATCCACTCATTGAACACATCGGTGTCCAAAATCCACTTGGCGTGAACCTGCCCAACAGGAGACACTGAGAGCCTGGTGCTTTGGGAAGAAATGACTCCATGAGAGACCTCCCAGGATTAAGGACATTCCCAGAGCTTTTTCAGGTCTGAATGCCCCAATCTCTGCCACTGGGTTCACACACACTCCTGGCAGTGTCACGAGGCAAGGCCACAAAGCATGAGCAGGGCTCAGCTGACAGAATTCAACCTCTGCTCTTGAAGCATTTTCAGGCCTCCTGAAATGTGAGGTCAGTTCTGAGAGCTGGGACAGCAGCTCTGGGTTACCTGTGTTCTTTGGATGCTGAAAATTACCATCAAACCCCCTAAATATACAGATCCCCTTGGCAGATGTGCCACAAACACCAAAAAATGAGGAAGAGTTGGCCATTCCTGGAGAGACTGCCAGGATTGTAACATCCACCTTGGTTTGGTTTACACAGCTCAAAAAACTTCTGGTGCTTTAGAGCCATTAATTCAATTTATTACTGAATTATTAATACTCCATACAATTCTGACTATTCCTAGAAAGGTTTATACTCCAAAATCCTGTTTTCCAGTGGTTCCAGGTGTTTGAACAGACTCCAGGGTCCTTTCAGCCTGGGCTGCCGTGACTCTGGAGCCCAGCAGCACACACAGAGCACGGCCAGGGGTAACAGACAGTGCAGGAACAACCACAGCAGTGCCAACACCTTTGTGTTGTCTGTCCCAGCACAGGAGCTGCAGGACAGGGCCAGCCTTACCTTCCAGGGTTTCTCGGGAATCGGGGGATCTTCGATCTCCGCGTCGAGCTCGTTGGCGTGGACCCAGGTGTCGTAGCTAGAGAGGGGTCAGCAGACAGCAGCTCAGCCACCAGCAATGGTTTTCCAGCAGATCCCAGTGCTGGGACTGCAGGGCTTCCCAAGGGGAATAATCCTGAATAATCCTGCTGTGCCTCGGCAGCGGGAGGGCCCCGGGGTGTCAAATGCACGTTAGAATTTAAAAACCTCACATTGAACCAGCTCCAGCCTCAAGTGCAAATCTGGAGAGATTCAGGGGGTAAAGGCAGCTCTGAGTCACCCAACCAAGCCCTGCCATTAACTTAATTCACTTCTTTCTGTGCTCTGACTTCAAAGCAAGAGTTACTGGGTTCCTGGAAGGGAGGAAGCTGCACCCTGTCCTAGAAACCGCTCATTATTTATATTCACTCTTCCACATGATTCCCAAAATTCTATTTGTTAACAAACTGCACTGAGCAACAGCAAAAGCCAAAGTACTCTGTATTCAACACCAGGTGCTGAGGAACAGGGAGAAGCCAGGTGCAAGGAAAGATGTGCACACAGCATTCCTGGTTTTATGTGTACCTGGTTTAAAAACTCCAATACAAACTTGACTACTGATAGAAATATAAAAATATTTAAAGGCTTTTCATCTGTAGGAATAAAGCAGTGTGATTACTGTTTGCTCTCCTCCACTGAAAGCCCCAGATGAGATAGAGTTCCTAGGAATTTGGGGTGTGAATGGATTTTAGTGGCCTGAAAAAGTTAATTAAATAGAAGTCAATACTGGGTTATCAATGTTTTGATTGATCTTCCATAGGCTGGGCTCAGAAACCAGTTATTGCAAATACACTGAAGTTCCTAACAGCACATACACTGAATTTTAACATGTTCCAACAGCACAGGGTGGGGTTCTCAAAGGGGTGCTTCAACAGCCACTGGCACCTGATTTGACAAAGTTCAGCCAGGGACTGGAAGTTCTCCCTTTAAAGTTTAAGGAAAGGCTTATTCCAGCTTTAAAATCTGGTTCAGTCTCCAACCAGTTCCTTGTGGCTCTGCAGAATTCCTTTTCCAGCCTCACCCACCTGCCAGTGCCACAAATGGATGTGGATATTGCAGTTTTAAATCAATGGTTAATTCTTTTCAAGCTTTAAATCAATGGTTAATTCTTTTCAAGCTTGGCACATTGGGATCAAGACTTTTCCATCAACAACAGTTAAAACTTGGGGTTTGCTTTTCCCCCCAGCTTTCTTTACCTGTCTGGAAAAAAGCCCCAGTGCACCAGCACCTGCTTGTCCTTTTTCATCACAGGTCTCAACCACTCATCTGCAAAGGGAACGAGATCCGGGTCAGATGTGGAGGGAAAAGCACAATAATTCACTTTTCCACAGTGAGTCAGAGGGAAGTTATTGCAAACCCCTCTGCTAAAGGGCCTGAGCTGGGAAGGGACCTTAAAGTTCATTCCAACCCCACCCCTGCCATGGCAGGGACACCTCCCTCTGCCCCAGGCTGCTCCAAACCCCATCCAGCCTGGCCCTGGGCACTGCCAGGGATCCAGGGACAGCCACAGCTGCTCTGGGAATTCCATCCTGCTCTGGGTACCTGTGCCAGGGCCTGCCCAACCCTCCCAGCCAGGAATTCCTGCCCAAAATCCCACCCATCCCTGCAGCTCTCAAGTACCGAGCCCTGCAAACCAAATCCTGAGAACAGAGCCCAGAGAAGCGTCACAGGAGAAATCCTGAGGATGTGAACACGTAGCTATAATCCCTGCTGGAATTTTGGGCTGTTTCCCAGAGTGTAACCCGGGGCTCAGAGCTCTGTCCCACCCTGCTGAGAGCCTGAGACAGACACAGGGCTGAGCCTGGGCACGGTGCTGCCACAGGGACCGAGCACAAACCATTCCTGATCCCTGCAAACTGCAGGGACCACTTCCATCTAGTGGCCAGAAAATGTGGGAAAGGGACTTTATTTGTCTGTGCAACTTGGCCTTGAGGACAGTGACCCACCAGGTAATTAAATGCATTTATGATGGAAAAAACCAAGAAATATTTTTTGCTACTTGGTGAAAGAGGCAGCTGTGAAATTGCTTTTGTTGGCCCTTGCCCTTCATGCAGGCAGAGTGAACTTTAACACAGCCAAGCCTGATGGAGGAGCTCTCCTTGGCACCCACACACAAGGACTGTACCAGCATTCCCTCCACAATTCCTGCACAGCCAGAAACTCAGAATCAGGGTATCACTGAGGCTGGAAAATCTTCCCAGATCACAGAGTGCAGCCACTCCCCAGCACTGCCCCATGTCCCCAAGAGCCACATCCACACAGCTCTGAAATCCCTCCAGGGACTGGGACTCCACCCTGGGCAGGAGGAATTTTCCCAAATCCTAAACCTCTCCATACACATTATCCATAATGCAGCGAGGGCTCCTCAGGAGCAGGCTGGGAACAGCTCTGGTGAACAATTCCATCACTTCTCATGGCATTCATTACAAGACTATTCCCACTTCAGAACTGTCCCAGAACATTACCATCATCCATTGAGGTAGGACTTGGATACACATGGTGGGTGGCCTTGGATTTCTCTTCAGTGACTGTTCCCTGTGGGAAACATGGAAGAAGAGGAGAAACTCAAGAGAAACCCTCAACACATCACCCCAAAACTCAGCTGGTGTTCAAAACTTACATCCTATAAACATAAGAGACTGAACAGCACAACAAGCTGCAAACCCCATCCTTGGCTGGCAGCAGCAGCAGGAGGATTCAGAATGGCACAGGGGGACTGGGATGTGGAAATACTCTGGGAGCAGGGGCTGAAGGGCAAGAATTCCCACTCCAGGAGCTCCCACAGCTCAGAAAAGGGGTAGGGGCAACTCTGAGCAACAGCAAAGGAGGGAGCTGGAAAATAACAGAAGTTGGAGCAGAGAGAACATAGGATACCAGGGAGCCACAGGCACTGGGCTGGGGCAGTGGCAAGCTGACAGCAAGGGGTTAAAAAAATGAGAATAACCAAGACAGTGAGGAAGCAAAGTTAGTGACAAGATGAGAATTCAGTGGCAGAGCAAAGGAAAGCCCCAAAGCAGAATTAGGGACAATTTCTGTTTTCATCTCTTCACATCCCCGTAGAGACAAAACTGCTTTAAAAATCCCTTAAATCACTCATGGATCTCACTACAGACTTCCTTTATGAAAAGAAAATTGACTCATTCACTCTAATTTGAGCAATAACACCCATCCTGAGTCAGGCAAATAATTAAGAGCAACTTGTGAAAATCTGCCCAACTGAGGCTGAGACAATGGTTCATAATCACAACACAGGAAATACATTAAATCTGGAAAAGAAACTATTTGGCTACAGCCTGTGAATTGTCCTGACACAAAAGCCATCAGAGCATCCAGAGGTCACATTCCAAGCTGTTTCTCTCCAGACAAGTGAGAAGACTGTTTATGTTTCTAAGAGATGAAGCCATCATGTTGCTCCAGTCATCCTTTAGCACCTGGAATTACGAGGGGAAGGCACTGGATCTCTGAGGCTGCCTGGGCTCTGCTCAGCACCAGCAAAGTGTGAAATAAAGCAAAAATCCAGTGACCATTTCAAGAGTCAGGCTTCTTTCTGCTGTCCCACACATCTGGAACAGCTGCCTCACTCTTTGGACAAACCTGTACCGAGCAATAAATCATCTGGGCCTGCCCCCAGCTCACCCTGAGCCCTCTGGCAGCAGGTCCAGGTTTGCTTTGAGAGCACAGCCAGGATTCAGCCCCCATGGGAGGACAAAAACCATCCCAGAGGTGTCCTCAGACACGCCAGGGCTAGGCCAGGGGTCTCCCCTAGAGCTGACCAGCCCTGGGTACACCTGTGCTGCGTGACACTCACCTGGTGACGCTTGACAATGTCCTTCAGCTTGTTGGCCAGCTTCAGCTCCATGTCAGGAATGAGGTAGATGGTTGGTCTGCTCAGACAGTTGTTCTGTGAGAGAACAGCAAGTTGAACAAGGAATTAGGAAGTGATCTGTGGCAAAAATCAGAATATTCCTATTAAAATCCCCAGTGCTGCAACGGAACTCAGGCCAGAGTGTGACACAGGTCAGTGATCCCAGTTCCAAGAGCCCTGGGACAGGGACATTCCCTCCACACACCCCCCCAGCAAAGCCCTGCCCAGGTTTTTATTATTTATAAAATAAATTTATTATTTATTTTATCTATGAAACCACTGTAGGTGGGCAAGGCTTTTTTGTAATAAGATTATGGCTGCTTTTTGCTCCTCTTCCCATTTCCACTCCTAACAGACACCTGGAAGTTGTGTTTACACTCCATTATACACTGAACTCGGCTCCACAGTTTGAAAAGAATCATATATTATTCCCATGCAGCAGTTACAAAAATTGAACTTCAAATTAGCCTCAGCAGAGCTGTTTAATGGGTACAGATGATAACTTGTTGGATAAAATATATCCTAACCTGGAAAAGGCCAGTTTAGATCAAAGTCAGCCCTGGAGTGGGTGTTTACTCAGTCCCAAGGGTGTCCGTTCCAGGGACATGGGGACATTTGGGATGATTTCTCTTTCCTTTCAACAGCTTTTCCTCATCCTCTGCATATCCACAGAGGGTCAATGGAAACATTCTGCATTTTTCAGGTGAAAATTGTGTCTGAAGTGTGAGGGAGAGGGAGGGGAGGGTCCCACACTCCTGCAGAAGGACAGGGTGAAGTGGGAGTCCCTGTCCTGGCAGGGCTGTTTGTCCTTGCCTGCACCAGTGTTTTCTCAATGTTCATGAACATCTCCACGTTGCGATCCATGCGGGAGGGATTCTGCAGGTCAAACCTCCTCCTGTTGGGGGAAAGGATTCAGAAATTTTAACTGCAGCATCCCCACCTGCCAGCAGTCCAGAACCTTCCCCGCTCCACACAAACACAGGATCATGGCAGTGGTGGCAGGACACTTCCAGCACAGTCACAACTATTGCTGCTGCTCTTGGCACCCTCTCACGAGCAAGAAAACCACAATGAACCGACTCAACAGATGCAGCTGATTTGTCAGATGTTTAGGGAGAAAAAGGAAGGTTGACAGTCCCCAGCAAACCCTGCAGCAGGGTCGTGCACTCCACCACAGTGACAGGGGGTAATTAAACACACAACCAGCATGGATTCCAACAGTCAGATGAGAAAATTCATGGAGGAGCTCTCACGGCTCTCTTACTTCTTGCTGTACCCATCCAGCAGCCCTGGGAACGCAGAGAACCAGCAATTCCTCTGCCTGATGTGAGATCAAACCAGCCCTGGGAACACAGGCAGCTGATAATCCATGGCAGCATTTTATCCCTGCCTTTACTGGTGTTTTAATTCTGTTATTTCACGGACAAATCATCGCAATTATTGCGATGCCGATGGAGAACTGTCCATCAGACACGGGGGAGGACACAAAACCTGAGCAATCCTCCTGGGAAGCAGCATGAGAGCCCCCAGATTCCCTGTGCTGTACCCACCTGAGCACATCTGGAGCTCACAGCTGGGCCAGCCCAAAGGAGGGATCTGATGGTGACCCCAAGGCTGAGGAGGGTGCAGCAGCAGCAGGGACTGCCCCGGGCGGGGCTGAACCCTCGGGATCCTGTCCCAAAGCAGCAGGAGGTGCTGAAGGCTCAGCTGTGCCTCTCAGGGGTAGTGCCTGTCCCTCCAGGACTGGGAACACGCCGCTGCCTGGGCTGGGAGGCGCTGGAAGGTGCGAATCCAACACCCTGCACACCCTCCCCATGAGCCTGAGGGCTGCAGCCAGCACCCAGCTCCAACCAGCCATTCCACAGCCAGGGACAGCCTCCTATAAACACACCCCTGCTTCCAGCAACACATCCCTTTTTCCAGTCCATACATGTCCAGAGAAGGTGAAGGAAAGCAAAGCTTAGCCCCAAGACTTTTAGCCCCAAGCCCTGTGACCACCCCAGGAGGGGACCCCACTAAATCAAACACGACACCCCAGCTGGGAGCACCACGTTCTTCTCCATCCTGGCATTTCCAGGGAGAAGGTGGCCAGGCAGGAGGTTCTGTAGGAACACTCTGAGGTGCTGGGCAGCTCTACCAACATCCTCTGTCACGGGGATGGTTTCTATCCTAAAGTACATTAGGACTGCCCTTCACACTGGGGACACGGCAAACAAATCAAACATCCTGACATATTTACTGGAATCAGCCTTTTAAAGAGGAATTTATGACCTTGTTGTGTGCTTTGGAAAGTTTACCCTGACTTGCAGGAGCAGGGCCAGACATGGAGGCTGTCAGGTCGCTGTTAATAAGTGATATTATATTTTACACCTATAATATAGAGGATTTTTGAGTCAAGACCAAGCCCCTTCTCCAGTATTCAGCCATGATTTGTATCCAAAACACCCAGAACGGCTCTGTAAATAAACACCTGCAGACCTCTTGGTACCTGTGAGACAAAGACACTCAGGGCATGACCAGAACATTGACATTTTTTGCTCAAACCCTGCACTGCACATCCACGGAGTTCTGCGTGCCCCCAGATCCCTGCCTGCTTCAGAAACCCGGAGAAGGACACGGAGACATTAATAACAGCACTGTTTTTAGCTGCCCATTTGGATAAAATGGCACTAATTCCTCCTGTCCTCAGCTTAAGAGGCTCCCTGTGCCAGGCTGGGACAGCTATGTCCAGCTCTCAGACATACCTATTGAGGCGAGGAAAGGGACTTCTCCTATAAGACAGATCAGTCACAAACAGGTTAAGCAGGAGCGACAATGCAGACCATGTAAAAATCAAATCAATCACAGGGCAGGCAAACAGCACGGATTATTTGGTAGAGTCAGTGGGGGACACATTCCAGGCTCTAGGGCTGATCCTCAGAGTTAAGTTGCAGGATTACTGCCCGCTACAGCCCACATGCACAGACACCAGGCACTACCCACGCTAATCCTGGGGCAGCAGCAAGGGAGGGACAGGGGAGGAGGCAGCTCCAGAGCTCAGCTGGGCTGGACAGCTGACTGCAAACCACATTTTCTAGGTAAAAAATTTGAAATATTCAAATCTTCCTGAAGCTGGAACCATTTAATTCCTGCAAAGAGGTAGCAAGACAGTCCTGATAAACCACACTGCAAGGAGGTGCCTGTCCCAGGTGTTGGCAAGATTGGAATAGGAAAACCCCTGAGAGTGGTTTATTCCTGATATATCCACCTCAGACAGAGCAGATATGAATATAAATACTAAAAAACAACCAACCATTCTCAAACAACTTTGTTTTGCCTTTTAAATGGCTCTTGTGTGTAAAAACAACTCACTCAATTCCAGGAGTGCTGTTACAGATTAGAAACATCACAACCAAACTATTTAAATTTGTGGACGGGAGCAATCTCTGCTTAATTTTATTGATTGCTTACATTAATTGACTTTTCATCCTCATTTTTTTGCCCAATGTTCTCAAAAATAGTAATTTCAAGGCCAGGTTGGACAGGGCTGGAGCAGCCTGGGACATTGGGAAGTGTCCCTGCCATGGCAGGGGTGGCTCTGGATGGGCTTTAGGGGCCCTTCCAGCCCAAACCATTCCAGGATTTTATGATCCTATGCTGTTGTTCCCTTGGGAAGAGGATTACAACTTAAAAACACTCAGGTTTAAACCACTGCTGGGATGTCTCAGGGATATTTTTCATCCCAGTATCAACAGCTCCAGAAGCAGAGTTTCTAAGTGCTTACACTCCCCATTTTTGGAGCAATGGAAATCTGGGAATTATTAGGATCTGCAGTGCTTCACGCTTTCCGAATTACAACTAAGCAAAATAATCAATACAGCAACAAAGATTTAGGTCTCACAGATGTGAGACTCCAATTCTGGTTCATTTTCTCAGTCAGACAGCAAGGAAATAAAAAAAGAGCCTCAAACTTGTAATTAACTCCAACTACAGGCCCAAAATCTTAAACTTGGCCAACTTATCTTTAAATTTAGAAGTGTGGGGGCGTGTCTTAAAAAAAGCTACCATCAGCCAAACAGGAAAAAAATTCCCTCTTCCCTTCTCCACTGCCTTGCCTGCCTGATTCTCCAGGAAGGATTAAACTTCAGGTAGTTTGCATAAGCAATTTGTGTGCTTGGTTTCATGCAAAAGGTGTATAAACCACAAATAAAAACTTACCAGCCCTGTTCATTCTTATATTTGTAAGCAGCACCAAGAATGTGACATAATGTACCTCCAGCTTTGAAATCCATGAAGCACTTTGCCTGCACCCAAAAAAACAAGGAGAAACAGTGACATTGACTTTTATGCAATTATTTAAAACAAATACTTATTGGTTAGGTGAGTTTTGGACACAGAACATATCAAATAAAATGTTAATTTTCAGATTAAACACTTTTGGAGTTTGAGATTCTCCTTCCAGAATGTTCCCTGAAGATTAAATGCATATGGGTTAAGCAGAATTCTTTGTGTCTGCAAGAAATTGATGTATCTGAAAGCCCCAAGTCCTTCCTTGTAGAGCTGTAAAAATCCAAAGTACTCTTTGAACACCCATTTCATAGTAAATTAAACCTCAAATCGCAGCTGTCAGGGAAGCAGCTCTTCATCTGTATGAGAACATCACACCAGATCATCAGAAACGAGCACCTGAACTCAGATATTCCACACTCACATCCCTCCCCAGGCAGAGCTGCACAGCAGAACTGCCCTGAAACACCAAAAACACCAACCCCAGCTCATTTCTTCCCTCTCAGTTTTACCAGGGTCACCCATTCCCAAAGCAGGAATTCCACAACACTCAAACAAGGAGCACGAGAAGGCTGAAAGCTTCAGGAGTTATTGAAAAAGCTTATTGAAAAAAAGGTTATTAAAAAAAAAAAACCAACCCTGTTTGCTGCACAAAAAGCTCAATTTTTCTGATACATTTTAGTCTGGGATTGTATTTGCATCTTTCCTGATCTCTCTGCTCGGGATGGCTGTGCTTGGGAAAAGCCAGCTGCTGTCAAATCCATCCTGGAAATGGAGACAGCCACATGAGGACAGGGACAGGCAACTCCAGGATTATTTTGTGTTTCTCAGTAAATATAAAAAAACCCATAAAAAATTCGTACATGGCACAAAGCAGAATTTGGGGAGTTTGTTTGGAGAATTTGGGGAGCTCTGGTTACCACCAGAGAGACCCTCCACAAACAGCAGCATTCCTGAAGATGCTCTGAGGAGCTGACTCCTGCTGGAAGTACCCAAGATCCAAGAGCTGTAAATGAACAAAATCTGAGCAAACCTGACCAGATTAGACCTCTGAAGCAGCGAGAACAAGCACAGGAACAACATCTTTATGATGCCACTGCAGCGTTTATTGCCCATTTTTAAGGTAAGACAAGTTGATTTAAGGCTCAGGAGCGCTCCAGTGGTTTCTGCACTTGTGGAGTGTGGGCAGGTTTATGGTTTGTGCTGCCACATCCAAATAAAGCTCTGCCAAGTTCCCTCTGTCCCTAAAGCTTCCCTTTATCACTGAGGGATCAGGAGAGGTGGTGAGATCTTAATGGCACCTTGGGGTGCTCCTGGGTGCACTCCAAAGCACCAGGAAATCACAGAATCCCTGAATGGGTTGGGTTGGAGGGACTTTGAGGATCATCCAGAGCCACCTTCCGCTGTCCCAGGCTGCTCCAAACCCTGTCCAGCCTGGCCTTGGGCACTGCCAGGGATCCAGGGGCAGCCCCAGCTGCTCTGGGCACCTGTGCCAGGGCCTGCCCACCCTCACAGGGAAAGATCCCTCCTAAAACTCATCTGGGAATTGTTCAGAGATTCACCCCATGAGTCTGAGAAACCTTCCAGTGAAGGAGTGTGCACATCCCACCCTCATGGAGAGCTACAGGGGCAAAGCACCCGGGGGAAACCAGCACAGAACAAAAAAAGGCATTGTCCTGTCACATGAACCCACAGCCACAGCAGTTCTGTCCAGTTTTCAGGCCAGCTTCGGGTTCAATTGGCTCCAACACCTTAATTGGCTGTAAATGATTGCAGCTTTGAGTGTGAACCCCAGAGGCTCGGCCCCCAGTGCCAGCACACATCCTGTGGCCGAGATGAGCTCACACCCCCCTGCTGATGCCACAATTCCAGGTTTAGGACAATTGTCCTGGCCCACAGACCTCCCCTAAATCACCCAGCTGGGCCTTGGCATCAGGCTGGCATCCCTGCCCTCCTCCCAGACCCCTCTGTCCTTCCCTGTGCTGCATCCCCTGCCCTCCCCCAGCTCTCTGCACCTCACATTCCCTGGGACAAGATCCTTTGGGTGCTGGGAGGCTTCCAGGCCTTTGTCAGCAGCAGCCCTCACAATGCTGACATTGTTTCTGGTTACCTGCATGCCAAGGGACTGGAGAGCTGTCCCAGGGCGAGCAGGTAACCACATGCTGCTGCAGAACGTGGCAAAGTCATTTCTCAGCCTGGGCAACTTCATTAATTTGTGGAGTTTAATCAACCAAAGCACCTAATGGGAGATTGTTTCCCTCAAAAAGTGCATTTTATTCACTCAGTTTAGGATGCACCGGTCCAGATTTGACTAAAAACTGATGAATTACACCGAGCTTCAGTAGAAATTAAAATCTTCCCACAGCATTCCAGAAACCATTTCAAATATACAGCCAATCAGTATTACACTGAAAATCTGCACTGAGGAGACGTGTGTTATTCCAGCTCTCGCAGAGGGTGCATCAGGAAGAGCCTGGGCTGGAGCAGGGATGTCCCAGTGCCCTGGACACCTTCCAGCAGCAGAGTGAGAACCCCAATACTCACAGGAAGCTTTGTGAAGGCAGGATTGGTGACGTGTTTTCCAAAGGCATCTTCCTGGAATTGCAGCAGCTGCACCACCAGCCCAGCCAATGTTTTATTGGTAGGAGCATCTGCTTGAACGTACTGCAAGACAAAAAGCAGATGTTTATTGAGGAGAGGGTGATTGGTCACACCCCAGCTCCCTCCTGCACTTGGAGAGCTGAGTTTTAGGATTTTGGGACCCCTGCATGGCTGGGAAGGGCTGGAAAGGAGTTTGCAAAGAGCACAAATATTTCCCAAGCTTTAGGCTAAAAATCCAGCACTCACCTGTGGCTCATGCCCAGCTCCTCAGGGTTACAGACACGGATTAACCACTCAAGCTGATCTCAGTTCCTAATAAAGGAACAGGCCCATGCTGCCCACACACACAGAGCAGTAACTTCACAGCCTCCTGCTGTAATCAACTCCTAATTAATCCTCAGAGCACCCCTCTGGTATAAATAGGATGTCCTGCACAGAGGGAAAAGCTGAGCCACACAAAGGGACAATCTGAGCAGCTCCCAAAGTTCTGCTTGCAATAAAATGACACATTGTGAATTTAAATCCCAGCATGGAATATTAAACCCCTCCCACTGTGCTGGGTTTTTTCACCTCTACTATTCAGTGTTCACTCACTGGGTGTCACCTCCTTGCCGTGCCAGACGGCTTCCAAGAGGAGAACAAACATCACTTTTCCAGGTAGAGCACGGAGCAATTTGAGCTACTCCAGTCTCTCTCACCTGAGTAACTCTCAGCCTTTGCTCTTCCCTCAAATCAGATTCTTAAAAAACCCAATTTGGAGACCCAAAACCCTCAAAGTTTTAAAGGTGTGGTGCCAAATACCAGTCAAACCTGAGTTTTGCAAAGCATCAGCTCCAAAGCCAAAGCCACCACAAAGACTCTGAGTGAAAGGAAACAATTATCATTTCAGAGTCTGATCACCCTGAGATGTGAGCTCCTCAGGAGCAGACACATATCTGAGAAATTTTATCTTCCCAACTCAAAGGACACAAATTCCCACGAGGCTCCTGGGTGTCCTGTCCTGTGTATAAATCCTGAACTAGAAACACGAGCCTGGAAAGAACTGAAGGCTAAAATTTCAAAGCTGCATTTCAATCAGCCCTCTTCCCTCCCCCAGGAATTAATGTTTTAATTATAGCAAAATCACAGAATATCCTGAGTTGGAAGAGATCCATAAAGATCACTGAGTCCAACTGCTGGCTCTGCACAGGACTTTGGACAAAGGGCTGGAGTGACTGGACAAGGGGGAACAGATTCCTAGTGCCAGAGGGCAGGGATGGGTGAGATATTGGGAAGGAATTCCTGGCTGGGATGGAATTCCCAGAGCAGCTGGGGCTGTCCCTGGATCCCTGGAAGTGTCCAAAGCCAGGCTGGAAGGGTTTGGAGCAGCCTGGGACGGTGGGAGGTGTCCCTGCCATGGCAGGAATGAGGCTGGATGGTCCTTGAGGTCCTTCCAACCCAAACCAGTCTGGGATTTTATGAACCCACTTCACAAAAAAAAAAATCCAGAAGAGGTGGCATCCTTGCACTGACTTACTCTACTTTTTTTTTTTTCAGATATTTTCTTTCAGAGAAAAAGGAAAATTACATGAGAATACACCTTGCAAAGCCTATTCTTAGCCATGTGAACTTTTCCAGGCAATCATTCCTTTTCCTGCAGCTCCCATTTTTACCTCTTGCAGGAGGCACTGACAGCTGGAAGCTATAAAGGAAGACAACACCTTCTCATCCTGCTCTGCACTGCCACTATCCTGCAGACCCTTCTAATGAGCAGCCCATTATTACCTTGCCTGAGTTTCCCTCAACAATTTTCCCCTCATGTCCACAAAATAATCCTGCAGCAAATAAAGGTTTTTAAGCAGTGAATTCCAGAGGACAGAACGATGCCCTGTTCCATAAGAGGATTTTGTCTCTTGCTGAAATGCCAAAGCCCCACTGGCACAGCAGAGTTTTCCAACATTTCCACAATAATTAGAAAGGCAAAACCAGCTCTGTATCTTTAAGCACGTGTGGTCAGCAAGCAGAGTGTGAGCAGCAGCAGAGGGAATCACTCTGCAGCCAGAGCTGCACTGCAGCTGCCCTGAATTCTTTGTCACCGAGGGGGACAGATCCACAGCCAGCTCTGATGTGGGCACTGACCTCAAACAGCCAGAGCAGCTCTGCTGTCCCTGCTGCACACACCCTCCCCAAAGCAAAGGCCACTTCAGCTCCCTCCACCCCATCAGAGCCAAGGGAAAGCACACACTAAAAGGCTTTCATTTGGGTTACAGCCCTTGGTCTTGTTCAAAGGTGAGAACACAGAAGAGCGGCAGAGAGAATCCTCCCTGGATGGATCCAGCCCATCCTGGGGGGCTCTCACATCCTCGGATGGAACCCAGCCTGTCCTGGGGGGCTCTCACCTCCCTGGATGGAACCAGCCCATCCTGGGGGGCTCCCACCCTCCCTGGATGGAACCCAGCCCATCCTGGGGGGCTCTCACCTCCCTGGATGGAACCCAGCCCATCCTGGGGGGCTCTCACATCCTTGGATGGAACCCAGCCCATCCTGGGGGGCTCTCACCTCCCTGGATGGATCCAGCCCATCCTGGGGGGCTCTCACATCCTCGGATGGAACCCAGCCTGTTCTGGGGGGGCTCTCACAT